TGTTTGTGATGTTAACAGGATGATAGGATTGGGGGTGTAAAAGGATTTCAACTGACCCCTTCTGCAATCTCTATGCTCCTCTTGTTTTCTTAGAAATTTAACACCATGGTGGGGGAAAGGGGAGCTCAGCTGAGCGGTGGGCAGAAACAGCGAATTGCTATTGCCCGTGCCCTGGCAAGGAAACCCAGGATTCTGCTGCTGGATGAAGCCACGTCTGCTCTGGACACTCAGAGTGAATCTATTGTGCAAGCAGCTCTTGATAAGGTAGGAATCCTATAGCTAGAGTTATCAATCAGTATCACGTAGTACAACACCATATGGCAAGCTTGACATTAAAGGCTATAGCATCCCATCTGTTTTTAAGCACAGCTCTCCGCTGGTTTCAAGGAGGGCATTGCAATCAATAGGGATGCATGCTCAAATTTTGGTGTCAGGATATGACCCTGTAATATTTAATCAAAACTCCATTAAGCAATCTCGGGTTGCCACCCCTGAAGCCCCTCCCCCTCTTCCACCTCTTTCCCAGAGGCCCTGCCTCCATCACTCGCTCCTCTCCCCACACCCTTCCCCCATTGCTCGCTGTACCGTCTCAAGGAGCTTGCCTGCAGGTAGGAGATGGCCCGGGTGAGCAGAGGCTGGTACGCATTAATGACCTGGCACTTTCCCTGCCCTGCAGTAACTGAGCTTTTGGTTCAGGTGCCATAGGGTTGCCAGGTTACCAAAAGCTGGGCACCTGGAAACCCTAAATCGCACCTGGACACGGAAGCCAAAAGCCAGACTGTCCGGATAAAACCCAGACAGGTGGCAACCCTAAAGCAATCACAGGCTCTGTTTCTGTTAGTGTCATTCCTGATTGCCAGGATATTTGCATGTGGACAGAAGTCGTCTTCTTTAATGCTGGCATCCACCACATCCTGCCTCACATCACAATTGCTTGCCTGGTGGTAAACTGTGAATGTGGCATCAGGAATTTAACTCCTACATTATCAAAGCAAGGTGCCAGCATTGTATGGATTTCTACAGGGCAATAATAAAAATACATTGTGCTTATCCAGCACTGTATCTTCTCCAATCACTAAACAGATGTTTTAATAATCTTCATAACACTGCTGGGACCTAGGAATTATTTTCTCCAGTTTGCAAATGAGGAAACTGATGTGTATTTGTATATAACCAGTGGTGTATCCTAAAAATAAGCTCTATTAAAAAAGCCGGCCTCCCATTAGTACTCAGTGATAGTAAACACAGAATAGCATAAGTTCTATGCATGGCTCAAGGGCATTATATGGCCCCCAGCATTTATCTGCAATTAATTTTAAGTCTATGGGCTTAAATTCTGCCTTCACTTATACTCATCTGACCACACTGATATCCGTTAGGTTTGCAACCCTCCAGGATTGGCTTGGAGTCTCCCAGTGACCATTGGAAGCAATCCAGGAGATTTTAATAGGATATTTTAAGAAAATGACATTGTCGTGTTGGGAAAAAAAATCTCCTGGATTAGCTTCAGTCAGAGTTGGCAACCCTAATATCAGCGGTAGTGCATGGTGTAATTGAGGGTAGTATTTGGGTACTGAGCCCTTATATTCTGCATAGATAATATCATTATTTATACTGAATTACACACACACACACACACTACATGAAAAGACCATTAAGATTCCAAAGTCAAGCACTCAAAACCCCATAAGAGGCTGCGAGCGAGGAGCCGAGGCAGTCTCTCTCTGCCTTCAGAGAGAGAAGGGCCTGGCTGCTGGGAAGCTCATGGTGCCTAGAGTGAGGCAGGGCTGGGGAAAGGCCAGAGGGGCTGGGGAGCTCAAAGCTGGCAACTCCCCAGGCTGCAGGGCGTTATCCAAGGCCCCAGAGGGGCACTGGGTTGCAGAGAGAGGCAGCAGGTCCAGACCCAACCTTGCTTATGAGGAGTGGCTTACACTGCAGTCTGCCCCAGGGCCCGGGGGCTAGTTGGTGACTGGCAGTAGCCTACAACTGAGGTGAAGTAAGGATAGGGGATGGGGGTTCCCTGGGGAGGGGAGACCCTGAGAGAGAGAGAGAGAGAGAGATGAAAGGAGCACTGGAGTCCAGGGAGGGACATGGAGCCAAACGGCAGCGGGACACCGGCCAGCAGAGGGTGCTCGAGAGGCTGGGTGAGCTAAATTCCCGAAGAGACAGCAGGA